GTCCCAGCTCCACTCCGATTCCAGATTTTTTTTCTGTGCCCTTGGGGGTGAGGAGGGAAGCAGCAAGTGATGGCTCAAGTAGTTGGGTCCCTGCCACCCACGTAGGAGACCCAGATTGAGCTCCTAGCTCCTGGCTTTAGCCTATCCAAGTCCTGGCTGGTTGTGTGGTTGTGGGCATTTGGGGAGTGCACCGGTGCAAGCCTTCCTAGTTAAAGCTGTGGGTGAAACTGCCTTCTCCTTTTCCTTTAACTACAAAACTGACAAACTGCCCCGTCCTGTAGCTCTGGGAGAGCTCTTTCTGCCTCTGAAATAAAAAGAAAATAAGTGAATACATTTTTATAGAGAGATTACTCGAGCAGTGTAGTTGAGGAGGAAAGGCCTTGTTGCAGGGTTAGCTGGCACCATGCCTTACCCACTTGGCACTTACCACTCCCATACAGGTGGACCTCAGGGCTTCCAGCTCCCTTCCCCAGCCACTGGACCTGCTGGGCCTGTGCTCAGGGCAGACCAGAGGTGCCTGGGGAGTGGACTTCATCAAGGAGCAGCTGCCAACCAGTGGCTGCAGGGAACTGGTGGACAAATAACTTACCTCACTTGCCACGGCAGTCAGTACAGTCCCCAGGAGTGGCCCACGGAGTCCCTGGTGCCCACAGCCGTAAACTTTTTGGTAACATTTTCTTTCTTTTTCAACTTATTTATTTGAGAGTCAGAGAATAGGAGACAGACCTCCCATCTGCTGACTTACTCCCAAAATGACTGCACTGGCTGGGAGGAAGTGGAAGCCTAGAGCTCAGTCCAGGTCTCTCATACGGGTGGCAGGGAAGCAACTACTTGAGCCATCACCTGCTGCTTCCCAGGGCCTGCATTAGCAGGAAGCTGGAATCAAGAGCTGTCTGGGATTTGAACCTCTGCCCTCCAGTGTGGGATGCAGGCATCTTAAGCCATGTCTTGATTGCTTTGCGAAAGTCCTCTCCCACTGACACTTCTGGCACCGCCTTCCTGACGGGACTGATGCACTCACGTGCTTGCCTGTGGGCCCTTCCGAGAGAATCCAATTTAGCAGGCCTTTACCCAAATGGAGAAAAAGTTTTCCTCTGTTTCTTGGAAGAGGTACTGAGGAGGAGGAAGCTACAGGACAGGGCAGCTTGTCAGTTATGTGGTTAAGGGGGAAGGAGGCAGTGTCACCTACAGCTTAAACTAGGAAGGCCTGCCTCAATGCCATCTATAGAAACATGGGATGTTGGAAGCATTGAGTTTTCCTGAAGAGAAAAAAAAGGGTTTACTTTTGAGCATTTAGAGTTTGAAGGACTGATGGAGCATTATAGGAATGCTGCCTTCTGGAACATAAAGACTGGGACCAGGAGCTTGGTATGAAAGTTAGAGAGTGGGCACTTAGGAATGGTAATTGTGTAGAGATGGTTGATGAAGGTATGGAGACGGATGAGATCTTCAAAAATTGGGTATTGACCAAAGAATGAGCAGGTGCAGGCCTAAGGCGGAGCATCTGGGAATGAATACACACATGGGAGCTGTGGGAAGGACAGGAACTGGGTAGGAAGTGGAAAGCCAGCAGCAGCAGAGCCAGGATAGTCATCATGGTAGCTGGGGGAGACCCATCAGGAGGCAGACCGTGTTGGAAGGCTCTAGATTTGCTAAGTGTCTGAGTTCTAGTAACTTCTGAGCCGCACTAGTGGATCATTATGTATCAGGCAAGGCATAATTGGCTCCCAACATTTTAACATTGTGTCTGTTGCAGCATAGCACAGCTGGAGCTAAAGGTATCTATTATTGTGAAAGGAAAATTTGATTACTAAGTTAAATCGTATATTGCTTCATCTAAGGCAGTGCCAGAAAACCCTAATCCTTCATTGGAGTGTTATTCACTTCGATCTTAATGTAATCTGTTTGAAAAAAAAAAAAATCGATTCTTATTTGTCTACTGTGTACTTCATGCAAACCCAGTGCTTTACAAGAATTACTTTACTTATTATAGACATATAATCCAAGTTCAGCTATTTGTGATCCTTGACAAATTACCCAACCTTGCTGAACTTCAGTTTCTTTTTGTGTAATTAAGGAACCAGGTAACATCTGTGGGCCTCCCTGGTAGTAGGATTCTGCAATCCTGGGAATTTCCCCTAGGCCATTTTTCTTATAACCTCTGTGTGTGTGTGTGTGTGTGTGTCCACACATACACACATATACTTCACTTAAACCCTATTAATAGGAATACATGTCGTGGTCTATTCAAATCATTCAGAAATTTTTAAAAATATTTATTTATTTATTTATTTGAAAGTCAGAGTTGCACAGAGAGAAGGAGAGGTAGAGAGAGAGACAGGTTTTCCAACCACTGGTTCACTGCTCAATTGCCCGCTACGGTCAGAGCTGTGCCGATCTGAAGCTGTGATCCAGCAGCTTCTTCTGGGTCTCCCACGTGGGTGCAGGGGCCCAAGGACTTGGGCCATCTTCTACTGCTTTCCCAGGCGCATTAGCAGAGAGCTGGATCGGAAGTGGAGCAGCCAGAACTCGAACTGGTGCCCATATGGGATGCTGGCACTGCAGGCAGTGGCTTTACCCACTATGCCACAGCGCCGGCCCCAGAAATTTTTTAAAACAGTTTTATTGAGATATAATTCACATACAATAGTATTAATTTTTTTACATTTAAAAAATTTACTTAAGGTATATAAATTTCATGTATACAGATTCAGGAACATAGTGATACTTCCCACCCTAGACTCCCTCCCACCTCCACTCCCACCCTTTCTCCTCCTTCCTCTCCTATTCCTTCTCTGAATCTTTATAATGATATACTTTATACTCATAAAATTAACCCCACACTAAGTAATGAATTCAACAAATAGTATGAAAAAAAAAACACACTGTTTCTCAACAGTAGGAGCCAGGGCTCTAAACAATCACTGAAGCTCAAAATGCCAATTTCACTCCTATACTGTATGTTTTTGGTACTCTATTAGTTACCACAGATCAGGGAAAACAGGTCTTTTTGGGACTGGCTTATTTCTTTAAATATAATGGTTTCTAGTTACATCCATTTTGTTGCAAAAGACAGGATTTGATTATTTTTTATGACTGAGTCGTATTCCATAGTGTATGTATACCATAATTTCTTGACCCAGTCATCAGTTAGTTGATGGACATCTGAATTGATTCCATATCTTAGCTATTGTAAATTGAGCTTCAATAAACATGGAGGTACAGATAAATCATTCAGAAATTTTAAAGCTGTGCAGTGTGACTTACATATAATAAAATCTGAATGAGTGTGTTCTTGCAGCAATTGCTATGAATGACCATGACAGAAAATACTGTTCTTTTTAAGTATCTCAACTTAGTAGTTACTTACTAACTATTAAGATATTGTGGAAGTTGTTTAACCTCTTTAAATTCAGTTTCCTCATTTATAAAATCGATGTAGTAATAGGAACTTCCTCAGTGTTTTGTAGATAATAATTTACTCAATAAATGTTACTTATTCTAAATACTGTCAGGTTATCAATTGTCATTGGGAGCATTTCATATTTGTAGATCTCAAAAAGAGGATACTAGGTAACAAGTAATACTAGGGATGAGTTTAATTGGACAAATCATTGAAAACTGATTTTCTCCAACTACTCGTGGGTGATCAGTGAGTGATACATAAACTTCCTAGTGTGATCTTGGTTTTTTGGAATATTAAAATTGGGTGGTGCGGATGACTAGTTTCTAGATTTATTAATGTCATCAGCTTCTTCCCCTTGTTACTAAGTTTTGGTTATTTTGTCACACAGAAACTTTATTCAGATGCATGCTCTCACATACATTCTCCGAGAGGTCTGCAGCTCCCTGCTCCCAGAACTCAAATGGAACATCTGTGATGCTTTTCTGCTATAAACAGAGCCCTTATTGATGAAGTGCACATGAAAACCGATTGTTCTAGTGCATTATGTATTGAGACATCATCAGCTTTATGGAATTTAACATTTTAAGTGTCTGTTGCAGTGTGGCACCACTGGGGCTATGTGGATATGCTATTATAAAATAAAATATTTCGTTAATAAATCACACTGTATATTGCCTTATTCATCTGGAGCCATGCAGCCCTAAACCATCCTTCCCTGGCAAATGGCACACAGGGTGGAAAAAACAGTTCCCCAGTTAGAAGTGAGCAAGTTAGAACTTCTGTAGCAGTACTGGAAAATAATTTTTTGCTTATTTGCTTTTGCTTTTTCTGCTGGCTTTTTCTCTCTCTCTCTCTTTTTTTTTTTTTTTTTTTTTTTTTGACAGGCAGAGTGGACAGTGAGAGAATGAGACAGAGAGAAAGGTCTTCCTTTTGCTGTTGGTTCACCCTCCAGTAGCTGCCACGGCCGGTGCATCGCGCTGATCTGATGGCAGGAGCCAGGAGCCAGGTGCTTTTCCTGGTATCCCATGGGGTGCAGGGCCCAAGCACTTGGGCCATCCTCCACTGCACTCCCGGACCACAGCAGAGAGCTAGACTGGAAGAGGAGCAACCAGGACAGAATCCAGCGCCCCAACCGGGACTAGAACCCAGTGTGCTGGTGCCGCAGGCGGAGGATTAGCCTAGTGAGCCGCGGCGCCGGCCCTGGCTTGTTTTTCAATAAAGGATTATTTTGGCTTTTCGTGGGCATTAAAATAAGTTTTTTTCCCCTATAAAAAAATAATTCTGCACATTCTCTTTCCAAATCAGTTGTCCTTGTGACACTATAGACAGATTTGAGTATGGTTCTTATCTCTTTAGTGGGAGTGTGTCCGTGTTGGTCTCCTCCCATTGTTTACATGTTCAGAATCATTTCGTTAGTGCCACCCCGAATCATGTTGGCTTTAGCAAATATGCGCATTGCAGGATATGAAAATGACAAATTATTGTTATTCTTAGTCCTTACATACTTATGACTTCTTGCTCTTTTTAACATTTCTGCATATTACGTATCAGTCTCACATTTTAATTTTTGTGCTTTATTTCTCGCCGCTTCCAGACGCCACGGACTTACTGTTGTGCAAACACGGAAGACTTGGAGACGGTTATCCACCATGTGCACAGCCTGTACCCTTCTGCGCCTTTCCTGGCAGCAGGAGTTTCCATGGGAGGGTAAGGTTTTCCTTTTCTGAAATTTCAAACAGAAGTGACCTTACTGCTGTCTCTTTCAGAGTACTCTAAGTGAGCTACATAGATATTTTAAAGTAAGTAGTTGATTTTTATCCTATTTGATCACATGCGGATGAATGAATGAACCGGAAGAATTAATTCGGGTGAATAGTCGTATTTTCCTTGACTGCCAGTCTCTGTGATGGGAAGGAGACAAGCACTTCTGCAGGGTCGTTGGGTTTTCTGATCCTAAAAGCTTGTCTCAGTGCCCCGAAGCTGACTTGCCTCCCTCTGTGGCGCCATTTTGACCTCTGATTCCCCGAGGCCCTCTTTGCCAGGAGACTGAACTTGTAGTATGACATTCACCGCAGAAATAATAATTGCTTGCTGTCTCCAACTGCAGTAGCCTTCAAAGTTGGGTTTCCCTAGGTAGTGTTTTGTTTTGCTTTGTTTTGTTTTGTTGCTGGGCAAGTGGACCTACTGTGGAATGTTCTCCTAGAAACTGAAATTCTGTTGTTAATCCCCTACTCCAGCTACTGTTTGATGTGTGTGAATATTATTATCCTTTGTTCTGTTTGTCATTACATTGGGGCTTATTTGGAACTCGTATTTACTGTGTTTATATTTAGGCTATGTCTACTAATAATTGTTTATATATTTGTGTTCCAGTGATAGTGAACTTAAGGAAATACAAAATTCTTATCTGGCATTTTACTGTGCTTTAGATTCCTTGAACCATTGTCCAAACTATTTTTTAAAATCAGCATACACTTGAGATAGAAAATTATGCTTTTTTTCTTGATTTTATAATTGATTTATCTGTCATTTCAGTTTCAAAACATCTTAGGAGTATATACCATTAAACAGAAAAAATTAGATTTTAACCACAGCTTTTTAGATACTGATAAAACATAAAACTGAGAAGAGAAGAATACATTTCTTACATTAGCATGGAAGGTCTGACTTGACCTAGTAAAGGAAAAATTCGCAACCAAGGCAGAAAACCCAGGCAGCTCTCTCATCTGTGCTTAGTGGACAGAATTTAGCTTCTATTTCCTTTGCTCCATAATATGTACCTTAAAGGGCAGGGAGGGAATTGAATTTTCCCCCTTAATCATATAAATTCTTGACTGATTTTTTAAAGGCCAGGCCTTACATTAGCAAGCCCAGATTTTGTCTTCAGAAGCTGCTGGGAAATGCCAATTTGTGCAGCCTTAAAGCCCTGGTGCCTGGAGGCAAAACTTGACCGTTAGCCTTCACAGCTGGTTGAATGTTAATGTCTTGTAAATTGCTTGAAGGAAGCACTCTTTCTAGTTGCCTGGTGCTGTGACCATTCCTGCAGACACTTGACAGCTTTCTTCCCAAGATGCAACACAAAAGCACAGCCTGTGGAAGATCCTTATGTCTAGGACCCCTTGGGCTGGGGGGAACCCCAGGCCCATGATCCCGGGAGCCAGCTTTGAACCCAGACTGACTCTAGACAGGGAGTCCATGTCATTCTAGACTCAATCAGATTCCAGTCTCCCAGTGAGTGGCTAAACAAAGCCTAAAAGTATGCGGCCGGGGGTGGGGTGGGGGGACATTGTGGCACAGTGGCACAGTGGATTGAGTCTCACAGCCTGTGAAGCCAGCATCCCATATGGGTGCTGGTTTGAATCCCAGCTGCTCCATTCTTGATCCAGCTCCTTGCTAATGTGCTTGGGAAAGCAGCAATGTGTGGCCCAAGTACTTGGGCTCCTGCATCCATGTGGAAGACCTGGATGAAGTTCCAGGCTCCTGGCTTCAGCCTGGCCCTGCCCTGGCCATTGCAGCCATTTGAGTGAAACAGCAGAAGGAAAATCTGCCCCTCTCTCTGTCACTCTGCCTTTCAAATAAATAAATAAATATTTTTAAAAAATGCAGAGGGACAGGTGTTTTGCACAGTGGTTAAGATACAAGTTAGGACATGCATGTGCTGTATCAGAGTGCCTGGGTTTGATGCCTGGCTCCGCTCCTGACTGCAGCTAACTGCTGATGGAGGCCCTGGGAGCAGCAGTGGTGGCTTAAGTGGTTGGGTTCTCACCACCCTAATGGGTGGGTTAAGTTTCTCACTCTGGCTTTGGCCCTAGCCCAGCTCTGGTGATTATGAGCATTTGGGGAGTGAACCAACAGTGGGACAATGGGTGCTCACTCGTTCTCTTTCTCCATCTGTCTCTCTTTTGTTCTTGAAATTAAATTCATTCATTCATTTAAAAAAGATGCCCATATCCCATATTGGAGTGCCTGAGTTCAGTATCTGCTCCCTGACTCCAGGTTCCTGATAATGCAAATCCTGGGAAGCAGCAGTGACAGCTCAGGTAGCTGGGTTCCTGCCACCCACGTGGGAGATGTGGATGGCGTTCCTCACTCCCAGCCTCAGCCCCAGTCAGGGAGCACTGCAGGAGTTTGCAGAGTGAACCAACAGATGGGAGCATTCTCTCTCTGGGTGTCTCTCTGCTTCTCAAATAAATAAATATTAAAATTAAATAAATTAAAACCATAGAAAATTCCAAATATAATCAACCCTCCATATTCCTGAGTTCTGCATCCATGGCTTTAACCAACTGAGGATCAGAAATATTCCCACTGCTCTTAAGGTGTGGTAGGAAAGTTTAAAAAAATTACCAAAATGTTTATGAATCTTTATTTTGTACATAAAACATTTAACATTGGGAGCTGACATTGTGGTACAATGAAATAAGCTGCAACTTATAACGACAGCATCCCATACTGGTGTGCCAATTCAAGTCCCAGCTGCTCTGCTTCCAATCCAGCTTCTTCCTAATGTGCCTGGGAAAGGAGTGGAAGATGGCCCAAGTACTTTTATCCCTGTCATCCATGTGGGAGACATGGATGGAGTTCCAGGCTTCTGGCTTCAACCTGGCACTGCCCTAGCTATTGCAGGCATTTGGAGAGTGAACCAGTGGATGGAAAATCAAGCTCACTCTCTCTTTCTTCTCTCCACCCCCCCCAACTCTCCATTTCAAATAAATAAATTTTTTTAAAAATTGTTTTACTTATTTTGAAAGGCAGAGTTCCAGAGAAAGAGAGGGAGAGACAGAGAGAGAAGTCTTCCATCCACTGCTTCACTCTCCAAATGGCTGCAAGGCCAGGGTTGGGCCAGGCAGAAGCCAGGAACCAGGAGTTTCTTCCGGGTCTACAATGCGGGTGCATGAGCCCAAGGACCTAGGCCATCTCCTGGTTTCCCAGGTGCATTAGCAGGGAGCTGGATCAAAAGTGGAGCAACCAGGACTCGAACCAGTGCCCATATGGAATGCCAGTGCTGCAGGCTGTAACTTAACCCACTAGACCACAGCACCAGCCCCAAATAAATAAATCTTTTTAAAAATTCATTAAGAAACAATTGACATGGACACTTTGTCATTAAAGAGGTACTTTGTCCTAAAAGTTAGTTGATTAGAATTAAATACTTCATTTGTACCCAGGCCCCATTGTGAAGGGTAAATTTCTGTTTTGAAAAGTGGAAATGGGGGTGAGTGTTTAGCTTATTAGTTAAGACACCTGCACCCCATAGCAGAGTACTTAGATTCAATACACATCTTTGGCTCCTGACCCCAAACTTCTGCTACTGCAGACCCTGGGAGGCAATGATGGCAGCTCAAGTAATTGGGCTCCTCCCCCGAACCCTGTGGGAGTTCCTACTCCTGGTTTCAAATCAACCTAGTTTCAGCCCGGAGAACATTTGGAAATTGAACCAGCAGATGGGTGCTCTCCCTCTCCCCACCCCCTTTCCTTTTCCTCTTTCTCCCTCCCTCCCTCCTTCTGTCCCTCCCCTTTCCTTCTACCCTTACTTCTCCCTCTCTCTTTCAAATAAATAAATTTTAATGGAAATATTAAAGTTTGTGTTCTATAACTTAAAGTAATAAAATATCCTTTCTATATGCAAAAAGTGGAGAGGAAGGAGAAAATACCCAAGGAAAAATAACTGCATCATGCACAGAGGGTTTTTTGTTTTTGTTTTTTTGTCAGTTTTCCTTAAACAGTAAGTATAACAGCCATGCACATGGCATCTGCATTGTATTAGATATTCTAAGGAATCTAGAGGTGATGCGGGGGTGGGAAACCTTTTCCTATCAAGGGCCCTTTGGACATTTATAACAGTACTCATAGGCCATACAAAATTATCAGCTTAAAATTGTCCTGCTATAGATTTATTGAATTTCAAGTCCTGCCTGCAGTTGCCTTGGCAGGACCAGACCAAATGATTTCTGTGGGCCTTAAATGGCCTGTGGGCTGGACGTTCCCCACCTCTGAATTTTAAAATATATGGAAGAAAGTGGCCAGCGCTGTGGCTCAATAGGCTAATCCTCCGCCTTGCGGCGCCGGCACACCGGGTTCTAGTCCCGGTTGGGGCGCCAGATTCTGTCCCGGTTGCCCCTCTTCCAGGCCAGCTCTCTGCTGTGGCCTGGGAAGGCAGTGGAGGATGGCCCAGGTCCTTGGGCCCTGCACCCCATGGGAGACCAGGAGAAGCACCTGGCTCCTGCCATCGGATCAGTACGGTGCGCCGGCCGCAGCGCGCCGGCCGCGGCAGCCATTGGAGGGTGAACCAACAGCAAAGGAAGACCTTTCTCTGTCTCTCTCTCACTGTCCACTCTGCCTGTCCAAAAAAAAAAAAGTATATGGAAGAAAGTGTGTAGTTAGTTCTATGCACCCGCAGATGTTGGCATCTGAGTGGCATCCTGGAACCAATCCCATATGGATCCTGAAGGAGGACTGTAACTGTGTATGTATATAAAAGACAGGAATAGGCCAGCGCCGCGGCTCACTAGGCTAATCCTCTGCCTGCGGCGCCGGCACCCCAGGTTCTAGTCCTGGTCGGGGCGCCGGATTCTGTCCCGATTGCCCCTCTTCCAGGCCAGCTCTGCTGTGGCCCAGGAGGGCAGTGGAGGATGGCCCAAGTGCTTGGGCCCTGCACCCGCATGGGAGATCAGGAGAAGCACCTGGCTCCTGGCTTTGGATCGGTGCAGCGCGCCGGCAATAGCAGCTATTTGGGGGGTAACCAATGGAAGGAAGACCTGTCTCTCTGTCTCTCTCACTAACTCTGCCTGTCAAAAAAAAAAAAAAAAAAAAAGACAGGAATAGTCCCCATGGACTCATCACGCAGCTTCAGTAATTAACAACGCATGGATATACTTGTTCCATCAGTGTCACCCTCCTCCCCCATTCACTCCCAACTCTGGTTATTTTATTTATTCATTTGAGAGGTGAGTGCTCTTATTTGCTGGTTCCCTTTCCAACTGCCTACAATGGCTGAGACGAGGGCGTTCCAAAGCCGGGAGCTGGGAACTCAGTCCAGGTATCCCACAGGACCTAACTATTTGAGCCATCACCACTGCCTCCCAGGGTCTGCAGTTTCAGGAAACTGGAATCAGAAGCCAGAGGCCAGTATTGAACCCAGGCTTTCTGATAAGGACTGTGGGCATCTTAAACTCTAGGCTAAACAGCCCTCCATTCTAATTATTGTGAACTAAATCTCAGATGTTATTTATTGGTATTACAGTTGGTATCTCCAAAAGGTAGAGTATCTTTTAAACAACAAGAAAAAGCAAAGGCCTAATACTGTTATCTCACCTGAACATAATTAAGTCATTCCTAAATATCATCAAATATAAAGTCAGTGTTCGTGTATTTCTCCATTAGCTATTTCTTTCTTTGATTTTACAGTATCTCTTAATCCATGGGTTCTTTCTTTTTATTTATTTATTTATTTATTTTTAAGATTTATTTATTTGAAAGACAGAGTTACAGAGAGGCAGAGGCAGAGAGAGAGAGGACTTCCATCCATTGGTTCACTTCCCAGATGACCGCAATGGCTGGAGCTGAGCCAATCTGAAGCCAGGAGCCAGGAGCTTCCTCCGGGTCTCCCACGTGGGTGCAGGGGCCCACGGACTCGGACCATCTTCTACTGCTTTCCCAAGACATAGCAGAGAGCTGGATCAGAAGTAGAGCAGCCAGGACTCAAACTGGTGCCCATATGGGATGCTGGCACTGCAGGCACCGGCCCCATCCATGGGTTCTTTATACAGCTTCCTCCTTTTTTTCCCCCCTTCTTAGGATTTTTTTTTCTTTAGGTGATAAAATTAAATCTTTTGAGCCTTTCTTGAGGGTAATATTATTTTGCTGCTGAGTAACCAACAAGAACCATCTACAGCTACATGGGTTTGTCTACCCCTGGATCTTCCCACTCCTGAGTGCCGCTTCCAGCCCTTGCCGTTGGGTGCAAGCGGGCCCAGGTGACTCGTATGGCCACCCAGGGCAGTTGTCTCAGAATCTCAGGGGTCTACCCCAGGTATCAGTAGTGGCTTTGCAGCCTCTCCAGGTGATTCCAACCCGCAGCCACAGTTGAAAACATTCTCAGGATGAATTTCTCTCATTATTTACTTCTTAGAAGGATCCATACAAGTATGCAAGGAATAATTGTGTATTTGAGACATGCTCAAGCTGACTTGCCCCAAACAGTAGAGTTAGAAACATACCAGGGGATTCCAATTCAATCCCATCAAGGTGGCATGTACCAATGCCATCTCACTAGTCCCAGTGATCAATTTCTGTTCACAATTGATCACAATGATAGGACTAAGAGTCAAAGGGATCACATAAACAAGACTAGTATCTGAAAATACTAACCAATAGAACAAAAAACGGAGAGAACAATCCAACATGGGAAGTGGGATACACAGCAGACTCATAGAATGGCAGATGTTCTAAACAGCACTCTGGCCTCAGAATCAGCCCTTAAGGCATTCAGATCCGGCTGAAAAGCCCATGAGAATATTTCAGGCATGGAAAGCCAAGACACTCTGGCCAAAAAAAAAAAAAAAAAAACCCTAAATGAAAGATCTCCGCGAGTGAGATCCCAGTGGAAAGAACAGGTCATCAAAGAAGGAGGTACCTTTCTCTGAAGGGAGGAGAGAACTTCCACTTTGACTATGACCTTGTCTAAATATGATAAGAGTCAGTGAACTCAAAAGGCTTCCATAGCCTTGGCAACTCATGACTGGAGCCTAGGGAGATTACTGATGCCATAAATAAGAGTGTCAATTTGTTAAGTCAACAACAGGAGTCACTGTGCACTTACTCCCCATGTAGGATCTCTGTCCTTAATGTGCTGTACATTGTGGTTTAATGCTATAACTAGTACTCAAACAGTATTTTTCACTTTGTGTTTCTATGTGGGTGCAAACTGTTGAAATCTTTACTTAATGTATACTAAACTGATCTTCTGTCTATAAAGAGAATTGAAAATGAATCTTGATGTGAATGGAAGGGGAGAGGGAGTGGGAAAGGGGAGGGTTGCGGGTGGGAGGGAAGTTATGGGGGGGAAGCCATTGTAATCCATAAGCTGTACTTTGGAAATTTATATTCATTAAATAAAAATTTAAAAAAAGGAATAATTGTGTGATTTGTCCCATTCAAAGTTGAGTCAACTGCAAGTGAAATAAGCACATAGGTGAACATCAGGAAAGAACAAAGATTCTTGGGTGCTTTTCCAAGCTAAAAGACTTAAACGTTGGTGTATCTTTTTCCTCTCTATAGTTAATATGAGGCCCACCACTAGAAGTTATCTGCCTTGGATTATGTAGCAAGTGAATCACCAAATGTCCTCTTTCTCCTTGTTTTAGAATGCTGCTTCTAAATTACCTGGGCAAAATTGGGACCAAAACTCCTTTGATGGCAGCTGCAACTTTCTCAGTTGGTTGGAATACTTTTGCTTGTTCAGAGTCATTGGAGAAACCACTCAACTGGCTGCTTTTTAATTACTATTTGACCACCTGTCTGCAGTCTTCAGTTAATAAGTGAGTCATCTGTGAAATCTTTTCCCTCCAAACTTTTTAGAATACGTGCCCCATCATAAAATATTTTAAAGCATAACACTGCCAATATGTATTTATTTATACATTATATTCAACTACTACTGTTCTAAAATATTCTCTATACTGTAAATTGTAATGCATACAAAATTTAAAATGTAAAGTGCAAGCTAAAAATAGAGATAAAAATAAAAATTGTCATTTTCTTTCTGTTCCCAGTGGATTGTCTTGTATTACCCATGAGCTATGTGCTCCCACTTTGAATGTCACTGTTCTGAATCATTCTTCTAAATTATTCTTAAAGACTTAAAAACATTACTGTGTAATGTGTCAGGCAACATTTGGGACTATTTCTCTGTTCTCCACTTGCTGCTAATTTTATCAGTACCAACTTCTTTCATAACTGTAACTATGAACAAGTGTTTTCAGTGCAGAATAATACGAGCCCCTTAAGCACATGCCTACAAGCCCAGTGTGTCAGAGATGGGCGAATGCAGTTCACTTGGAAATTCTCAGTTCCCATAGTTCTTTCTTTTTTAAGATTTATTCTGTCTTTTTTAAAGAATTACAGAGAGAGGTAGAGAGGCAGAAAGAGAGGTCTTCCATCTGCTGTTCACTCCCCAGATGGCCACAACACCCGGAGCTGAGCCAATCTGAAGCCAGGAGATTCTTGCGGGTCTCCCACGTGATGCAGGGCCCCAAGGACTTGGGCCATCCTCTGCTGCTTTCCAGAAGCATTAGCAGGGAGCTGGATAGGAAGTGGAGCAGCTGGGACTCAAACCATTGCCCATGTGGGATGCCAGCACTTCAGGCTGGGGCTTTAACCCACTGCACCACAGCACCAGCCCCTCCTATAAGTTCTTACATTATCACAATCTGTGTATTAATTTTTCCAGAATTCTTTGTGCAGTAAAGTTCATCTCAGCAAAGAACATAGATATTTCCTTTTTTTATGATTGTTACCATGCACTTTTAAGTGAATTGCGCAACTTAAATATAACTCTAAATAAAAATGCAGTTAATTTGTATATGACTTTTCTCTTTAAAGATTTATTTAGTTGAAAGTATTATGGTAGTGGAGAGAGAAAAAGAGTGAGAGGTCTTCCATCAGCAGATGGCTCACTCCCCAGATGGCTGCAATGGCTGGGGCTGGGCCAGGTCGAAACCAGGAGCCAGGAGTTTCATCCAGGTCTCCCATGTGAGTGGCAGGGGCCCAAGCACTTGGGTCATCTGCTGCTGCTTTTCCCAGGCCATTAGTAGGGAGCTAGATTGAAAATGAAGCAATCAGGGCCGGCGCCGCGGCTGACTAGGCTAATCCTCCGCCTAGCGGCGCCGGCACACCGGGTTCTAGTCCCGGTCGGGGCGCCGGATTCTGTCCCGGTTGCCCCTCTTCCAGGCCAGCCCTCTGCTGTGGCCAGGGAGTGCAGTGGAGGATGGCCCAGGTGCTTGGGCCCTGCACCCCATGGGAGACCAGGAAAAGCACCTGGCTCCTGGCTCCTGGCTCCTGGCTCCTGCCATCGGGTCAGCGCGGTGCGCCGGCCGCAGCGCGCTGGCCGCGGCGGCCATTGGAGGGTGAACCAACGGCAAAGGAAGACCTTTCTCTCTGTCTCTCTCTCTCACTGTCCACTCTGCCTGTCAAAAAAATAAAAAAAATAAAAATGAAGCAACCGGGACAGAAACCAGTGCCCATATGAGATGCTTAAATCACAAGCGGCATCTTTTTTTAAAAGCTTTTATTTATTTATTTAGAGTGCAGATGGAGAGAGGGAGAGACAGAGAGAAAGGTTTTCCATCCTCTGGTCACTCCCCAGATGGTCACAACGGCTGGAGCTTGGTCAATCCGAAGCCAGGAGACCCAGGCCACAGCAGTGAGCTGGATCAGAAGTGTAGCAGCCGGGATACGGCACCCATATGGGATTCTGGCACTATAGGCAGAGGCTTAACCCACTAGGCCACAGCATTGGCCCTACACAAGCAGCATCTTAACCTGCTGTGCCACAATGCTGGCCTCTGAATATGACTTTTATACTGAAAATCGACATTGAACATTGGATTTAAACTTAACCTGTTTGTGAAAATACAAATATTGTTGGGCCGGCGCCGCGGCTCACTAGGCTAATCCTCCGCCTAGCGGCGCCGGCACACCGGGTTCTAGTCCCGGTCGGGGCGCCGGATTCTGTCCCGGTTGCCCCTCTTCCAGGCCAGCCCTCTGCTGTGGCCCGGGAGTGCAGTGGAGGATGGCCCAGGTGCTTGGGCCCTGCACCCCATGGGAGACCAGGAAAAGCACCTGGCTCCTGGCTCCTGCCATCGGATCAGCGCGGTGCGCCGGCCGCAGCGCGCCGGCCGCGGCGGCCATTGGAGGGTGAACCAACGGCAAAGGAAGACTTTTCTCTCTGTCTCTCTCTCTCACTGTCCACTCTGCCTGTCAAAAAAAAAAAAAATATTGTTGATAAATACAGGCTGAGTATCCCTTATCTGAAATGCTTAAGACCAAAAGTGTTTTGGATTTCATATTTCGGATATTTTCATGTATGTAGTGAGATATGTTGAGGATGGGACCTAAATCTGAACACAGAATTCATTTATGTTTCATATATACCTTAAGTATGCAATCTGAACATAATTTTACACAACGATTTTTAATGATTTTGTGCATGTTGACTGCATCCCATCCTGTGAGATCGGTGTGGAATTTTCCATTTGTGCTGTCATGTCAGTGCTCACAAGGTTTCAGATTTTTGGATTAAGTATGTTCTGCCTATATTGCTAAAAATATAACAAACCATCAGAACAGTAAGTACTCAAGTGGCTAATGAGGTGGAGGTCAAAGGCAAAAAACTAAAGAGGGATTTGAATTAAAATATCAGTTATACAACAAGAATGACTGATATTTTAAAAGCAGGTAAAAGTACAAATTCTGTTCTTTAATATAGCAGTTAAAAATAATGTCTTCTGTGCCTGGTCTTGTGGTGTAGGGATAGTGGGTAAAGCCACTGCCTGCGACACCAGCATCCCGTACTGGCACAGGTTTATGTCCCAGCTGTTCCACTTCTCATCCAGCACCCTGATAATGGCATGGGAAAAGCAGTGGAAGATGGCCCAAGTGCTTGGGCCCCTGCCACCCACATGAGAGACCTGGAAGAAACTCCTGGCTCCTGGAAAATAAATATATTTTTTTAAATGTGTCTTCAGGTAGTTTCTCAGTCTAAAGTAAGACCTCTTTGCCTCTTTGATCAAATTGGTTATTATTAGCAGCAGTGTATAGGTACAGGTTATTATAAAATAACATGTTTATTTTTACTATTACAGAAGTGGATCATTCTTCCTTGGTTAAAAAAATACTATAAAAATGCCTTTAGAACAAACATCAGTGTACAACTCCTGCTGTCTTTGATGAAGCAAATATTTATTGAGTACCAACATTATGCCCTGTTTTAGATGGTTTAGTTATTATTATGTATCTTTGGTCTGACTGAGGTAAGAATGACCTCGATTTTTATTTTTGAAATTCTTTTTTTCTAGGCACCGACACATGTTTGTAAAACAAATTGATATGGATCATGTCATGAAGGTAGGCAGAAACTCACTATGTTCTTTTTACTTCTTTTTTTGGATTCCAAGAATAGATACAATTTATTTTCATTTTTCAGGCTAAATCCATCAGAGAGTTTGATAAACGATTCACCTCAGTCATGTTTGGATACCGGACAATTGATGATTATTACACCGATGCTAGTCCCAACCTCCGACTGAAATCTGTAGGAATTCCAGTGTTGTGTCTGAATTCTGTAGATGATGTTTTCTCACCCAGTCATGGTAATGTTATTATTTTTGTATATATGCTGGCATGAGTTAACTTTTGAAATAATGTTCTTTTTAAGAAAATGCAGTTATAAATAAGATGTCAGTTATATGATATTTTCCACTGTGGGAGAAAAAAAAACAGATACTCATGACTTAGTATATAAATGTTTCAGATCACTGAAATGTTTTCAGAGTTTTATCTATTTCAGTGTATGAGCCTCAGAACAAGTTGTGCCTCTTAATATTTTGCTTGTTCTCAGTTTTATAACATTTCTTTCTTATCAAATATACTCTTTTTTGGACAATTTATGTTCCATTATTTCTGCCTCAAGAGAACATTGTCATTACTTGCCTCTCTTCCCTAGGTTCTTTTTTATTTCTTTTTTAGATTTATATTTATTTATTTGATAGGCTGAGCTGCAGAGAGAGGGGGAGACAGAGAAAGAGAAAGATATTTTCTATCGCTGGTTCACTCCACAAATGGCCACAACGGCCAGAGCTGGGCCGATCCCACGTGGGTGCAGCAGCCCAAGCACTTGGGCCACCTTCCACTGCTTTTCCAGGCCATTAGCAGGGAGCTGGATCAGAAATGGAGCAGCTGAGACACGAACTGGCACCTATATGGGATGCCGGTGCTGCAGGCGGAGGCTTAGCCTACTATGTCACTTGAGGTTCTTATACAGAGGAATTTGAAGTTTTTCTTCCCTTTGAACCTGAAAGACAACTTGACATTTTGATAAAAACAATAGCCTTAAAAAATAAAATAAAATAAAATAAAAATTTAAAATAGCCTTGAATATATGAGGAAGTGGCGTATATTTGAAGATGGTTGTATTTGAAGGAAACAAATCTGTTTTTCTCCTGAATACTGTATAAAAAAACTTTTGTTTTCCAAAATCAACTTTCCTGCTTTCTTAATTCAGTAAATATGAAATTAGGGCGGACATTTGACATAATGATTAAAACGTAGCTTATGGGGCCAGTGCTGTGGGTAGGTTAAGCCTGCGCCTGTGGCACTGGCATCCCACATGGATACCAGTTCATGTCCCAGCTTCTCCTCTTCTGATCCTGCTTTCTTTATGGCCTGGGAAAGCAGTGGAGGATGACCCAGGTGCCTGGGCCCTTGCACCTGCATGGGAGATCCAGAGAAAGCTTCTGGCTCTGGCTTCAGATTGGCCCAGCTCTGGCCGTTACAGCCATCTGGGGAGTAAACCAGCAGATGGAAGACCTCTCTCTCTGTCCCTCTCTCTATAGCTCTGCCTCTCAAATAAATAAATAAATCTTAAAAAAAAAAAAAATAGTAGCCTGTGATGCCTGTATCGCATACTAGAGTACCTGGGTTCAAGTCCTGGCTCTGCTCTCAGTTCCAGCTTCCTGCTAAGGTATGAGGTGAAGGTGCAAATAGTTGGGTTCCTGCCCCCTTGTAGGAGACCTATATTGAGTTTTTGACTCCTGGGCATTTGGGGAATGAACCAGCAGATAGAAGGTGCGTCTGTCTGTGTCTCTTTCTTTCTGCCTCTCAAATAAAATAAACAGATAATACAATTTTTAAATTTTTTGTAATTATTTTTTAAGGATTATCTTTTTCTTTTTAAAAATTTATTTATTTATTTATTTGAAAGAGTTACACAGAGAGAGGAGAGGCAGAGCGAGAGCGAGAGAGAGAGAGGTCCTCCATCCAATGGTTCACTCCCCAATTGGCCACAACAGCCAGAACTGTGCGGATCTGAAGCCAGGAGCCAGGAGCCTCCTCCGGGTCTTCCACTGCTCTCCCAGGCCACAGCAGAGAGCTGGATCGGAAGTGGAGCAGCTGGGTTTTGAACGGTCGCCCATATGGGATGCCGGTGCTTCAGGCCAGGGCGTTAACTTGCTGCGCCACAGCACCGGCCCCAAATTTTTTGTAATTATGTAAAAACTTTTTACTTTTTTTTTTTGACAGGCAGAGTGGACAGTGAGAGAGAGAGACAGAGAGAAAGGTCTTCCTTTGCCATTGGTTCACCCTCCAATGGCCGCCGCGGCCGGCGCGCTGCAGCCGGCGCACCGCGCTGATCCGAAACCAGGAGCCAGGAGCCAGGTGCTTTTCCTGGTCTCCCATGGGGTGCAGGGCCCAAGCACCTGGGCCATCCTCCACTGCACTCCCTGGCCACAGCAGAGAGCTGGCCTGGAAGAGGGGCAACCGGGACAGAATCCGGCGCCCCGACCGGGACTAGAACCCGGTGTGCCGGCACCGCTAGGCGGAGGATTAGCCTAGTGAGCCACGGCGCCGGCCTAGTAAAAACTTTTTAGAAATGTGGAATTTAATAACAAAATATATGTGTATATGTTCATACATTGAAGTTATAAATAAGAGGATTTGAAGTAATCACACCAACTTTTTTTTTCCCCAAAGTTTTCCTTCTAAGGAGACAAGGATGTTTTCTTTTTTTCAAGATTACTTATTTATTTGAAAGTCAGAGTTACAGAGAGGCAGAGGCAGAGAGAAGGAGATCTTCCATCTGCTGGTTCACTCGTTCACTCCCCAAATGGTTGCAACAGCCGGGGCTGGGGCTGGGGCTGGGGCTGGGCCAGACCAAAGCCCAGGAGCCAGAAGCTTCTCCTGGTCTCCCCCATGGGTACAGGGGACCCAAAAACTTGGGCCATCTCCCTCTGCTTTCCAAGGCACATTAACAGAGAGCTGGATCAGAAGTGGAGCAGCCGAGACTAGAACAGGCGCCCAATGGGATGCCAGTGCTGCAGGCAGGGCTTTACCCACTATGCCACAGCACTGGCCCCAATCACACTAACTTAAGGGTAGGTAGAGTTGACCTCTAATATTTTTCTAATGAAATTTTACAAAGTAATTTTTAAAACTTCTCCTTACTTTCCCTTTAAATATTTAAAAAAACATTTCCCCAAGGACTTCATTTGAAAAACTTACTGTAAAAATGTTAGAAAATCCCTGAGGTATATATACTTTTAAATCACCCATCATTTCTCTAGGAAACCCATTTTATGGTGTGGTTGATGATTAACCACAGGTAAATTTTAAATAGTGGGAACTTCTGGCATTTGACCACAGATGAGAAGATGCGACTGTGAACCTCAGTGGCAGCTGTTCCCTGTTGATCGTGCAGCATGTTTTCACTGGATTAAGTCTACTATTCCCCCATCCAGTTCTATATGTCACCCACTCTTCTACCAACGGAAACTTCCCAGCACCTAACCTGACCCACTTGACGTTGAGACTCGTTACTTCCTGTCCTTTCCCAAGCTCTTAAAATAGTCACGCCACGCCGAGATAGTGGACAATTGTCTGCAGCCTGAGAACAGGCAGGCTGCCGCTTTCACATGACTCAAATGTCACACCGCCTTTTGTTCTTCTGCTGCGACTGTAACTCTCAGTGTTGGAAATCTCCTAGTGTATCCCGAGTGTGAAATCAGGGCTCTTAAATAACTCCATTAGAAGTGAGTCGGGCACTCTGTGTATGGCGAAAAAGCAAAGCAAAAAGCCATCCGTGTGTGTTCCCGCACCGCTACCACCACCTCCTCCTCCTCAAGTTCCCTGCCCGATCCCAAGATGGGAGCTATGCAGCCTTAGGACAGGTGTGCGTTCCGGGCCTCTGTTGGGTAAGAGTTCGGCTTGCAGGGCCTTGCTCTAGGGTCTCTCAGCAGGTTCCTCAGACAGCACTGTAAGGGGTCCGATTTGGCAAGTTGTCTGAGAACAGGCGACTCGTGTCCAGCAGCGCAGCACCTTGGAAAGGGCCCAGCTCTCGGATAGTGAGTTAATGTCCTATCTCTCCTTGGAAGGCCGTGGGGTTAGGGAGATCTCACCTTTAGGTAGCTCATTTACCCCTAAAACTCATCCCAGGATGCGAAGATCTAAGTATGCATCAACCACGTTATTTGAATGAGGGAGATAAGACTTACAGTGTCTGAAATCAAATCTCATACCAGGTTGTGATCCATTAAAGATCTTAAGTCTGATATTTTCACTGACCTGTAAACAAAGGAGAAAACAATGAAGCAACTTTAATTCATGTCCTATAAAATATATACAAAAAGACTTTTGTAAGGCTGTGAAAAGACAGTCCTTACTGGTGAATTAATTATATCAAATAGAGCCAGTACATTTTCTAAGTAAAGTTTTTTCTCTTGACTATAAATTCCGAAAAGGAAAAATATAAGCACTCATGTTTCAGGGACCAAAAATAAGCACTGCTATCATTTGGGAGAAGTTTATTCCTTTAACTATCTAAAATGTTTTTACTACAAAAATCACATTTATGGGCCAGTGCTGTAGTGTAGCGGGTTAAGTCAAGGCTTGCAGTGCCAGAATCCCATATAAGTTCCGGTTCATGTCCTGGCTTCTCCACTTCCAATCTAGCTCCCTGCTAATGTACCTGGGAAAGGAGTAGAGGACGACCCAAGTCCTTGGGCCCCTATACCCACTGAGGAGACCCAGAAGAGGCTCTTGCTTTTGGCCTGGCGCAGCCCAGCCCCAGTCATTGTGGCCACTTGGGGAGTTCACCAGCAGATGGAAGAGCTCTCTCTCACTCTCTGTATCCTTCTCTCTGTATATAACTCTGCCTTTCAGACAAATAAGTAAATATTTTTTTAAAAACTATGATTTTTTATGCCGGCGCCGTGGCTCATTAGGCTAATCCACCGCTTTGCGGCGCCGGCACACCAGGTTCTAGTCCTGGTCGGGACACCGGATTCTGTCCCAGTTGCCCCTCTTCCAGGCCAGCTCTCTGCTGTGGCCCGGGAGTGCAGTGGAGGATGGCCCAAGTGCTTGGGCCCTGCACCCCATGGGAGACCAGGAGAAGCACCTGGCTCCTGGTTTCGGATCAGCGCGGTGCGCCGGCCGCAGCGGCCATTGGAGGGTGGACCCACCGCCAAAGAAAGACCTTTCTTTCTGCTCTCTGTTCCCTTCACGGCCCCCCCTGCCTGTAAAAAAAAAAAAAAAAAAAAAAAAAAACTATGATTTTTGAATCCCTAATACAGCCTCCAATTGGCCTCAGGAATCTGATTTCATGTCCAGTAAATCAAAATTGTACATAATGGATTTTTAACTCTCACAAAGATGCTAATATTAGTTGGTTTCCCTGTAAAAACATATAAGTGGGAAAGCTGTGGACACAACACAGTATTTAACATGCCTTCAGTTATCTTACTTTAATTTCTTCAAACAAGACTTAGCTTATACTTCTGTGTTGTGATTAAAGCTTAGATTAATTCTTCTAAAAATGAGGTTCCAGTACATGACCATAAACAGTTATAACACAGATAGTGAACCTCATAAATTTGTGCAATTCTTTTTAATTTTTACTTTGTTTTTTGAGCATATACTTATTTTTTAATTTTATTTTTAAATTATTTTACTTATTTAAAAGGCAGAAAACAAAAGAGAGATTGAGAGAGGCAGAGACAGAGAGAATGAAAACTCTCGTGTGCTGATTCATTCCCCAGATGCCTGCAACAGCCAGGGTTGGCTTAGCCTGAAGCCTGAAGCCAGGGACTCCGTCTGGGACTCTCAAGTGGGTAGCAGGGATCCATGTACTTGTCATCACTTGCTGCCTACCAGGATGTGCATTGTTAGGAAGCTGAATTGGAAGAAGGGTTGGGACTCAGCCTCAGGCTCTCTGATATGGATACAGGTGTCCCAAGCTCATCTTAAACACACAAAATGCCCTCTCCTAATTTGTGTAATTTTATGTGTCAATTTAAAAAATCTATTTCTTTTAAAAATATGATGGTTGGAGCCTGCGTTGTGGCGCTGTTGCCTGCATTGTCAACATCCCTTGTCAGTGCCGATTCAAGTCCCAACTGCTCCACTTCCGATCCAGCTCCCTGCTAATGTGCCTGAGAAAGCAGCAGAAGATGGCCCAAATGCTTGGGCCCCTGCACTCATGTGGGAGATCCAGAAGAAGCTCCTGGCTCCTGGCTTTGGCCTGGCCCAGCCCTGGCTGTTGTGGCCATCTGGGGAATGAACTAGCAGATGGAAATCCAACCTCTGTCTCTGCCTTTGCCTCACCATCTCTGTAACTCTTTCAAATAAATAAATAAATCTTTAAAAAAAAAAAAGATATGATGGTGGATATAAATAGATTCATCCCATTTAGCCATGCTGATTACTTATGAGTATATTCGTTTAATGATGTTTTTTATTTATATTGGTTTTCATTTTCCTAACAAAAATGGTAACTGTGTTTTTTTCTCTCTCTCTCCTTCCTCTTACTGCCACCCCTTTTCTTCCTCAAGCTATTCCAATAGAAACTGCTAAGCAAAACCCTAACGTTGCTTTGGTCCTCACGTCTTACGGAGGCCATATTGGTTTTCTGGAAGGAATCTGGCCAAGGCAATCCACTTACATGGATCGAGTCTTCAAGCAGTTTGTGCAGGCCATGGTAGAGCATGGACATGAGCTTTCTACCATGTAGTTCTTGGGGTGCATTTTGGCTGAAGAACCATTGTAAAGGTATCTCCAATTAGTGCACAAATTTTAACTACTGTAAATATAGAAAATAAGCCAGCATATGGGTGAAGAGGTCCAGAATGACAAGCAAAAACTACTTTTTAGGGAAACAAAACACCTTTGTAGCAAGAAATTAAATATAGAATTAGATTGTTACTTATGTAGATTTTATTTTTACTACGCCTTACCAAATATGACCTTAAATAAAGTAGTACATACATGAAATTGCACTTAACCAAAACTGTTGTGTAAGATTTTAATTCCTCAGGGTTTTAATTTAGGCTAGTATTTTTTTAGATTACTCATTTTAGGTGATTTAATGGTACTTTAATAACTGTTAAGAGATTTTGGTTATATGGATGTAAATTATAAGTTGGCACATTCCTAAGGGTATTTATACTTGATGATAACATGAAAACTGAAATAAAATACAATGGTCTAAATCTTTTATGTATTCTAACTCTGAAGGGCAAGTGCAACGATGTTAGACTGATTTATATACATGCTCTTCTACTCTAATAATATTAAATTAGGGCTGATTTATGTTTTATAATGATTATAATTTACGAGCTTATTTTTAAAATAGTATATGTGTACACATATGTATCATTATATTAAAATAAATTATATCATTTTAAATTGTTTGTGAGATTTTGTCTAAAGAGTCTAGAAGATAATTCCTAAAAAGTAGCTTATGATAATTCCATGAATGCAGTAGTAATAAAACTGTTTTGCTTGACTGTTTCCAGACTATCAGGTTCATATCATTTGTGCCAGTTAAGAATGCTTTTAGGGCAGGTGTTTGGCCTAGCAGTTAAGTTGCTGTTTGAAACACCTGTGTCCCACATCAGAGTACCTGAGTTTGACCTGGCTCCAATTCCTCACTCCGGCTTCCTGCTAACGCAGACCCTGGAAGGCAGCCATGAAGGCTGAAGTAATTGGATTCTTGCCACTCACATGAAAGACCTGTATTGCGTTCCCAGCTCCAGCTTTGGCTATTGCAGGCATTTAGAGAATTGAGCAGCAGATGGGAGCTCTAAATGCCTGCCTCTCAAATAGATACTTGCAGCTACTGGAAACCCAACAGTGCCTTAATGAATAACAACATTGAATTACCCTAATGTCAAGGCATCCAAGAGCTCTCCTGGTAGGCAGGCCAAGGAATTTATCAGTGTCCTCAAAGGCCCAGGCTCAATTTCCACTCCATCCTTAGCCAGATGGGTAGTTGTCTTAGATACCAGGATAGCTTCTTCTGGTCCAAACATCACTTTTCTGCAGTATACTGCACGCAATATGAATGAGAATTTCCTGGATATATGAAAAGCTCCCACAAGTCAAATAATACCAACAATCCAATAGAGAATGGACAATGTACAGAAATGGGATGACTCTTTAAACATATGAGATATTTGACCTCATTGATAATAAAGATAAATGCAAATTGAACTACTTGATAATACTCGCAACATTTGTTTTTTTAAGAAAGATTTATTTATTTATTTGAAAGGCAGTTACAGAGAGGCAGAGCAGAGAGTGAAAGAGAGAGAGGTCTTCAATCTGCTGGTTCATGAACTCCCAGATGGCCACAATGGCCAGAGTAGTGCCGATCTGAAGGCAGGATCCAGGAGCTTCTTCTGGGTCTTCCACGTGGGTGCAGGGGCCTAAGGACTTGGGCCATCTTTCACTGCTCTCCCAGGCCATAGCAGAGAGCTGGATCGGAAGTGGAGCAGCTGGGGCTCAAACCGGTGTCCATATCGGATGCTGGCACTGCAGACGGTGACTTTATCCTCTACACCACAGCACTGGCCCCACTATTTTTTCAATTAACAGTTTTGGTAAGGATGGGGAACAGGCACCATGTATGAGACTATAAAGTTGATCAATGTCTATAGAAGACAGTATGTCAATATCTACCAAGCAATACAAAAATACCTTTGACCTTGCAATTTCATTTCCAAGAATATATCTTAAAGATATGTTCCTACACATGTGAAATATGTGCAAGATAATAGTGTTGTGATACAAAAACGTAGAAGACAACTTAAACGCTAATCAATTTGGAACTGGTTAAATCAGTTGAGGTCTATTCATATAGTGAAATATTTACCATTGCAAAATTATACATTGAGAATCTCTTATCCAAAATGCTTGAAGCCAGAAGTGTTTCAGGTTTTGGAGTTCTTAGGATTTGGGGATATTTGCATAGACCTTACCAGTTGAGCATCCCTAAACCAAAAATCCAGAATTTGACATGCTCTATAATTCAGATTTCAGATATTCTGATGAGGGATGCTCTGAGGGATTTTTTTTGTTGTTGTTGTTTTAATATTTTTGACAGGCAGAGTGGACAGTGAGAGAGAGAGACAGAGAGAAAGGTCTTCCTTTTTTTGCCGTTGGTTCACCCTCCAATGGCCGCCTTGGCTGGCGCGCAGCGGCCAGCGCACCGCACTGATCCGAAGGCAGGAGCCAGGTGCTTCTCCTGGTCTCCCATGGGGTGCAGGGCCCAAGGACTTGGGCCATCCTCCACTGCACTCCCTGGCCACAGCAGAGAGCTGGCCTGGAAGAGGGGCAACTGGGACAGAATCCAGCACCCCAACCGGGACTAGAACCTGGTGTGCCGGCATCGCAAGGCAGAGGATTAGCCTATTGAGCCGCGGCGCCAGCTCTGAGGGATGTTAAGAAAGGATCGCTAAGGAATGTTAAGAAGAGGAGCAAGGAATAGTATGTGTGTTTTTGTGTGTATTTTTTACACAAAATGTAGCAAAGTACCAAATATAAATATGAACAGAATTTCTGGGAAGATACAGAAGAACTGGCAAATATAGAGAATATTAGTCATTTTTATAAAGATTTATTTATTTATTTAAAGAGTGATAGGGGGCCGGCACCGCGGCTCAATAGGTTAATCCTCCACCTAGCGGCGCCGGCACACCGGGTTCTAGTCCCGGTCAGAGCGCCGGATTCTGTCCCAGTTGCCCCTCTTCAGGGCCAGCTCTCTGCTGTGGCCAGGGAGTGCAGTGGAGGATGGCCCAGGTGCTTGGGCCCTGCACCCCATGGGAGACCAGGAGAGGCACCTGGCTCCTGGCTTCGGATCAGCGCGGTGCGCCAGTCACAGAGTGCCAGCCGTGGCGGCCATTGGAGGGTGAACCAACGGTAAAAGGAAGACCTTTCTCTCTGTCTCTCTCTCTCACTATCCACTCTGCCTGTCAAAAAAAAAAAAAAAAAAAAAAAAAAAAAGAGTGATAGGGATAGAGAAGGAGGAATTCCACGTTTGGAAATCACTAGAGTTCTAAAAGTTACTAGAAATTAGGGAAGTTGCTATTGTCTGTGGCAGTTGTCATGCTTAGCTTTTCACTGGCCTTCACCAGTAAACTATAAATACAGTGAGGACAGGAAACACTGCTCTCTTTCATCCCCTGGGACCAACAGTCTAGGCTTATATTAGGTTCTTAATAAATATTTGTTGTTAATTAATAATACTTGATTATTTGGCTCTGGTGCTAATGGAAAGCTAGAATTACATACAAATCAGGAGTGGCAAGAAGAGGCATTTTGCTTGCAGGCTGTCCCTGGATCAGAACATCTGGTAAAGCCATCTGTTTCCCCTGCAGACTTCAGTCAAAATGGTAATTTTTAAATTCTCACACTTACTGTGAACCTAATATAGCACTGGTCACAAGGTAAGCACTCATTTTTTTAGAACCTAATTTGGAGTCAACAATGACAATCTGCAAGGTCAGGTGATAAAGCATTCCTAGGAAATGTGCTATTTTAACTCTAGTTGTCATGTATAAGACAGTATTTTGTCCCTAACTTTTGCTAAAACACATCAAGGTACCAAAAAGAAGCTGGTGTGTGTTCCTCCTCCTGCAGTACAATGGCATCATGTGGATGGATACCTAATGCAGCAAAAGTTGCTGGAGATGTTTGTTTGCTTTTATTGTCTTGCTTTTGTTTTATTGTCAAGTAAAGATGTTGATATTTATATAATCGTGGCCCCGTGATAGCTGAAGAACAATGCTTTCAGCTTTTGTCATAGGTATTATAAAGCTGTGAATTGCTCACTTGTGCTGTTTATCCCTATTCCCAATACTAAACCTTGGAAACATTTTTTTTCCGGGTCTACCGCAGTCTAAATGTGGAAGTTACTTTGTTACGCTGAAAAGATAGTGAAAAGCAAGAATTTGGCAAGAGTAATTTACTCCTCTGAATGTCTCTTAAAAATAAAGCACCCCATGGGAGACCAGGAGAAGTACCTGGCTCCTGCCATTGGATCAGCGCGGTGCGCCGGCTGCAGCGCGCCAGCCGCGGCGGCCATTGGAGGGTGAACCAACGGCAAAAAAAGGAAGACCTTTCTCTCTGTCTCTCTCTCTCTCACTGTCCACTCTGCCTGTCAAAAAAAAAAAATAAAAAAATAAAAAATAAAGACAATGATGTGACTCAGGTATGGAAGACTTCTCTGTCGGTTAAGAGCATGCCTCCGTAAGAGTTTACTGCTGGACACTGGAGTGTCTGTGCCTCCTGGAAGGGGCTATCTTCCCCCGAGACTTAGATGCTAGTGCTGAAATCTTTCAGGTAGTGCAGTCGTCATATCTAGTCCATCTGCACTTCAGGTTTGTTGCTGCTCACATTACCAAGGGTGGGTACCAGCTGGGTGTCAATAAGCAGGCAGCAACAGCCGAGGCTGGGCCAGGCCGAAGCCAGGAGCCTTCTTCCTGGCCTCCCATGTGGGTGGCAGGGGCCCAAACACTTGGGCCATCTTCTGCTGCTTTTCCCAGACCATAACAGGGAACTGGGTCATAAGTGGAGCAGCTGGGACAGAATGGTGCCCAAATGGGATGCTGGCATTGCAGGCAGTAGCTTTCCCTGCTATTGCCACAATGCCAGCCCCCTCACCCCCACCCCGTGTCTATAAATTTTAACTATCCCATTTATCTGCTCTACTTTACATATGGGAATACATAGAATTTTAGATTTTTTTGCTCTATTTTTCCATGTTCAAAATGAAGCATTAAGAGTACTGAATTCCTGGGCTGTGAATATAGTTAATTTCTACTGCCATCTAGTAGTATTCCAATATGACTTTTTTTTTTTTTTTTTTTTTTTTTTGACAGGCAGAGTGGACAGTGAGAGAGACAGACAGAGAGAGAAAGGTCTTCCTTTGCCGTTGGTTCACCCTCCAATGGCCGCCGCTGTAGCCGGCGCACCGCACTGATCCGATGGCAGGAGCCAGGATCCAGGTGCTTTTCCTGGTCTCCCATGGGGTGCAGGGCCCAAGCACCAGGGCCATCCTCCACTGCACTCCCTGGCCATAGCAGAGAGCTGGCCTGGAAGAGGGGCAACCGGGACAGAATCCGGCGCCCCGACCGGGACTAGAACCCGGTGTGCCGGCGCCGCAAGGTGGAGGATTAGCCTATTGAGCCACGGCGCCGGCCCCAATATGACCTTTTAAACCTCTAGGTTTTCTTACCAAAAGTTAAAGAGACACTCTGAGAAATAATGTAGAATGAACTATTATGTACTTTTTATGAAAAATATTCTGAAGTAATAGATGTTTACACTATTAAAAATGTCTAGGGTTGTACAGATTCCAACACCATATCATGGCACTGGTTTGAGTCTGTTGCTTCCACCCAGCTTCCCATCCAGCTCCCTGCTAATGTGCTTGGGAATGAAGCAGAAGATAGTCCGAGTTCGTGAGTCCCTAACACCCACATGGGAGACCCAGATGGAGTTCTGAGCTTCTAGGTGTGGCCTGGACTAAACTTAGCTGTTGCTGCCATCTGGAAGCTACCCAGCAGATGAAAGACACTCCTCTCTCTCTCTCACTCTTTCTCATTCTGCCTTTCAAATAAATAAATCTTTTTTTAAGATTTATTTTATTTATTGGAAAGACAGAGTTACAGAGAGAGGTAGAGAGATCTTCTATCCGCTGGTTCACTCCCCAGATGGCTGCAATGGCTGGAGCTGCACCAATCTGAAGCCAGGAGCTCCTCCAGGTCTCCCACGCAGGTGCAGGGGCCCAAGGACTGGGGCCATCCTCCACTGCTATCCCAGGCCAAAGCAGAGAGCTGCATCGGAAGAGGAGCAGCCGGGACTAGAACCGGCACCCATATGGGATGCGGGCGCTTCAGGCTAGGGCGTTAACCCACTGCGCCACAGCACCAGCCCCAATAAATCTTGTTTAAAGTTGTTACAGAAAGGTGTTTACTATTACAAACCAAATAAAAATCCAATGACATGTTATTACTAAAGTAGATTTCTCTATCAAAACCACCCTGGGTTCAGGCTAAGGAAGAAAGTAAATGTTGGTATGTATGGTGATGTTGACCTTGACTCCTTGGCCATGTGGGTGCCTGCCAGGACTCGCCACTGCAGACTGACTGAGTTTCCCTCTGAAATGACTGCATATTCTGAGAACAAGGGTGCTTTGAGCCTGTCCAGATATCTTGTTTCTGTTCACATTTCAGTCCACTCATTGGCGGATCCTGTCTGCAGCAATTAGTGATGTCCCCGATGGTGATTTTCTATTTCTCACATTCCTTCTGTGCTTTAAGCTGTTATTCTGAAAGGAACAGTGGTCACTCCCTTCCCTGCTAATTTCTTTATTTATTCATTTATTGATATTTGAATGGACTCATGGATATTTTCCTTTGGGTTACAGTTCAGTACTGTTGTTATTTTGTTATTCAAGTCATTCCAACTTGGCAGTGTTTTCAGGATGGTTTCTATGCCTCTTTGATATGCTTTTTTTTTTTTTTTTTTAAGCACAGGATGACATAAGTTCATTTAGTATTTTTCCTACTCTGGCCCTGGTGAGGGTTAAACCACATCAGACGGGTTGTCCTTAGGAGAGATGAGAAACAGTCCAATACCTCAACTAAAGTAGGGTCCCAACCAGCTGTTGCTCTGGAAACAAAAGCTCCTTACTGGCTCTTGTTCCAAATCACTATCCTAATCCCAGAATAATTGGCCCTTGTCATCTGGTTGTAGGGGAGGGGTGGGTTCCTGGAGGAGAGCCAGTGCAAGGCTTCTAAGGTCACTAAGACAGCCTTCATAGTGGCGGGCTGGCTCTCCCTGAGCCTTCCGCTCTGGGGCCCTCTCAGTGGCTTAATGCTTCCCAGACAGGTGCGGGGAAATCCAGCCTCTCTACAATAAGAAAACATTTCTAGAAACCCAAATAAAACACAAAAAACCAAGTGACAAGAACTTCTAAAACTAAAGCTTCAGTTTTTGTTTGTGATCGATGGTCAGGTGAAAATGTCAGCCTTTCCCCCCCTAGCAGGAGCCTTCCCAATCAGGAATAAGATTTTGCAGTTTCAGTGAAGATACGGGTTCCAGCAGGATGTTCCTGAGTAAACAAGTCTCCCCTACAACCAGATGACAAGGGCCAGGTAGCCCCTATCTGCTATGCCAGCATTCCATATGGATGCTGGTTCTAGTCTCAGCTGCTCCACTTCCAATCCAGCTCCCTGCTAATGGGCCTGGGAAAGCAGCAGAAGATGGTCTAAGTGCTTGGGCTCCTGCACTCATGTGAGAGACCTAGAAGAAGCTCCTGGCTCCTGGCTTTGGCTTGGCCCAGCCCAGGCCATCGTGGCCATCGGGGGAGTGAACCAGCAGATGAAAGATTCTCTCTCTCTTTGTCCCCTACTCTCTCTGCCTTTCAAATGCAAACAAAGTTTAAAAAAAATCCAAATGTCAGCAAAATTTCCAAATATATTACATAAGTCTCAAAATCTAGAGGGAAAAAAATATAACTTCTACTTACTTAGAATCAGCTCTCTTCTGTACACAGCAGTAACTTGAACTATGCAGTATATTTTAACACTGATATAAATACGCATAATTCCCTATGCCAGGTCAACTAATCTAGTTACCAATTACAACAGGTTTATCATGAGGTATTTACCACAAAGCAACAGTTGGTCCTCCACGCCCTCGGGTTTCTCATCCCCGGATTCAAGCAACTGCAGACTGGGGAGAAAAAAAAAGGGGGGGGGGGCGGCGGGGTGGCAGGAACAGGCATTTGGCACAGGGGTTAAGTTGCCACTTGAGATGCCTGCATCCTGAATCAGAGTCCCTGGGTTTGAGTGTCAGTTTGGATTCTGATCTAGCTTCCTACTAATGTGCACCCTGGGAGGTAGCAGATGATGACTGAAGGCTTGGGTCCTTGACACTCATGTGGAAGACCTAGATTGAGTTCAAGACTCCTGGCTTCAGCCTGGCCTAGCCTCAGCCATTGTAGGCATTTGGGGAGTCAATCAATGGATGGAAGAATGCGCTAGCTTTCTCTACCTTTCACATAAAGTGATTAAAAAATAAGATTTATTTATTTATTTATTGGAAAGGCAGAGTTACAGAGAGGCAGAGGTAGAGAGACAGAGAGATCTTCCATCTGCTGGCTCACTCCCCAAATGGCTACAACGGCTGGAGCTTGGCCAATCTGAAGCCAGGAGCCAGGAGCTTCATTTGGGTCTCCCACGTAGGTGTAGGGACCTTGCCAAGGACTTGGGCCATCTTCTATGACTTTCCTGGCTATAGTAGAGAGCTGGATCGGAAGTGGAGCAGCCAGAACTCGAACTGGTGCCCATATGAGATGCTGGCACTGCAGGCAGCAGCTTTACCTGATACACTACAGTGCTGGCCTCTAAAAAATTTTAAGATTTATTTATTTTGTTTTTTTTTTTTAATTTTTTTTTTTATTTTTATTTTTGACAGGCAGAGTGGACAGTGAGAGAGAGAGACAGAGAGAAAGGTCTTCCTTTGCCGTTGGTTCACCCTCCAATGGCCGCCGCGGCCAGCGCGATGTGGCCGGCGCACCGCGCTGATCCGATGGCAGGAGCCAGGAGCCAGGTGCTTTTCCTGGTCTCCCATGGGGTGCAGGGCCCAAGCACCTGGGCCATCCTCCACTGCACTCCCGGGCCACAGCAGAGGGCTGGCCTGGAAGAGGGGCAACCGGGACAGAATCCGGCACCCCAACCGGGACTAGAACCCGGTGTGCCGGCGCCGCTAGGCGGAGGATTAGCCTAGTGAGCCGCGGCGCCGGCCAGATTTATTTATTTTG